AGATAATCCTTATTTTCAAATTTTATTATCTATAATTATTTTTTTAATATTTTTGCATTTTAAAAAAGTAAATCAAAACTGAATGAATACAAAAATATAGACAAATTTGTCTGTATTAGCCTACATTCTAAGAGATAATTTTTATTTACTACAGTAATACAATATAATTATTTATATTGATTTAGCTATTTTAGTTATAACATTATAACAATTTCATATTATAAGTATTATGGATTATAGCATTGAAGTATTATAATTTTGCAGTATTGCAGTATTACAGTTTATAGTATTTATAGTATTCAGATACTTTGCTATATATGTATACCAGGAATAGTAAATGACTTGGTTATTTACTCAAAATTTAAATACCTAGTTATTTGGGTAAATGACCAGGTCATTTGGGTTATTTGCATTTGAAGTAATTTTATTGGTTAGATAGCTAGTATAAAAAAATATTAAATACTATAATTTTACTAATTGATAGTTATAGATACATATAAAGATCAAAATTTTACTAAGTTGATCTATATTTTCATATTAATAAAGTTGTTCAGGAGAACAAATTATATCTATTTTAAAATTTTCATATAGTTTTAATAACTTTTATTAAGTTTTTTTTATATTTTACATTTATATAAAAAAATTTTAAATTTTTTTATATAAAAGTAAACTACAAAAATAACCTAATAAAAAGTTATTAAAATTATATTAAAATTTTAAGATAGATATAATTTGTTCTCCTGAATAACTTTACTTAATATATAAATATAGATTAACTAATAAAATTCCGACTTTTATATGTACCTACTATTATTAATTATATTTATAAAAAGGGAATTATTTTTTATATCCTTCAAATTTATTATTCATACTTCCTGTAACGTTAATTTCTGATCATTATATAATCATATGAAATAATCTTCAGAATCTTACTTGTGATTGGACAATATACTATACAGAACATACATAATATATAATATCTAATCAACCTTAATACATACATAATTTAAACTTCATGAAGTAATATATTCGCAACACTTTTTAATTATTTTAGTAGTTGAGAATGTTTATATTTCTTTTTATATAAAAATTGTTTTATTTTTTAAATTCAACACAAAATTTTAATTAATACTATAAGTACATTTCAAAAACTAATTTTGTATTCAAATATATGTTTGCAGAAAATAAGGTAATAACTGAAAGGAAGATATGTTTAAAAGATAAATATCTAATAGTGTTATCAAAAAAAAACTAAGATTTACACTAAACTATCATTTCTATTTAGGCAAGTGCACGTATTGTACCTGAGTTGGCAGCAAATAGTATAATGCCTTACTTTATGATCTATTAATTCAAAACTAGAAGGATCTCTTCTGGTTGAATTGGTTTGTTTATTAGAGATACCTAAAAGATATTCTTTCATATAAACTACATAGAGATTTTGCAAGATAAGTGAAGTATCAATTATATTTTTTAATGTCTCTTGTGCTATTGATTGCTGAGATTCTAGCCATTCTTAGTATTTTTGTTGTAGGTCTCTAAGAGAGATTCTAATGTGTCTTCATAATGAAGAGTATTTCTCTCAATTAGCAATGCCAGTAGATATTCTGAAATCTACTAATGCTTATAAATATTATCAAGCATAAGGCTTTGATTATTTCTGAAATGTTAGATAATATAAGCACAAGGTAAGCCCATTGTTTTTGTGAAGGATCCTGTGCATGGTGGCAAGGACTCTTATGCTATAGCATATTCTACTTTTTGATATTGTTCATTTATTTTTTTGAGAGTAAAGGTTGAAATTTTACCTTTGATATTTGTGTATAAAATATCATTAGTAGCAAAAACTAGAATACAAATTCATTTAGATGCAATTATAGCATCTAGCTCTTTTTTCTGGTTAGTTACTACTAATGATATTGCCATATAAACCTAGTAAAGATCTCCTATAGATCTTTGCAAGTAAGCCTTAAGGGGCATGTGCTCCTTCAATTCGGGAGGTTATAGTTGTTCCTAAGTGAAACAATTTGTTTGTCTATGCTCTTACGAATCTTTCTTTCTATAGAATTCAGATTGTTTCAAGATAAATTATAGTAGTGAACTTATTAGTATAAGTAGAATGAAAATTTCTCTATATTACCTCAAATTTATCTTCTGTTGCAAATTGAACAATTTCATTCTATTTGGCAAGAAAATCTTGCTATTTAGTGCTTTCCTTATTACCCATTCCCTTTGAGAATAACAGTTTGCAATTTTTTAGAATGTTTTTACTAATATGCTATACACAAAATAAATTTGTCAAACTGGGAAATATTATATTGAGAGCATTCATAAGAGCAAGCTCTCTATTAGTTACAATAATGCCTGGTATCTCTGCTCTATCAAACAAGCATAAAACATGTGTTAGAGCCCACCTATAATTCTCTATATCCTTACCTTTTATGAAAATAAAACAAGAATAAAAAGTTGTATTAAATCTAGTTATATCTATAATGTTTAACAAGAGCATTTTAAATTTGTTTGTTTTATAGGTACAATCCATCAAAAGTACAAAAGGATATTAGCGGGTAAGAGAGATTAATTCATTATATGAAAAAAAGAAATAGATAATAGAACTAGTATTATCACATTCATATTCATACAAAAAATCACCATTTTCAAGTTTATCAACTAGAGTCTGTATTGGTTATGACCTGCTAAGTTCTGTTGCTGAAGCTTTGCATGCATATTATAAATATCACTGTTAGTAATTAGTATCAATAGGTTATTTTGCCTAAGAGTTGTCATAATTTCTTTTGAATGGGAACTAGCAATAGTCATCACTTCAACATTCACTATATATTGCTTTGTAAGTCTATAAACAATAGGATAGCCCAATATATCTTGTGAAGGATCATGGTTATGAGTTGCATTACGAACTTCTAAATGCCATTGACTATTTCATCGAGCAGCATACAACTCAAATGAGTAGTCAATGAGCCTAGTGCTTTTTTGTCTATGACGTGCTTCTTCATTTAGTTCTAAAGAGTTATAATAGATACTACTTCAGTCACAATGTAAAGATATATTTTTTAATTCATCACTCTTGTCTTTGCGAGTTCTTTTTTTTACCAGAGCATATCCTTGTGAGTTTGTGAACCTTTGTATACTTTGAAAAGTATTTCAGCACTATTGTATACTTCAGATAGTGGTGGAAGCATAGTTTACTTAACAAGAAGAAATAATGACTAAGTGGTAAACTGCTGATACAATTAATCTTTATTTTTAATTAGGACGAGAACTTTAAGTGCTCACACTATTACAATATAGAGAAATTATTAAAAATGAAAGATATGATATATTTATCAAGTTATTTAAATCTGACAATATGTTTATTAACTCAAAATTTTCTTTTTAATACTTTAGATATACTTTATGAAAAAATTTTCTATCGATATAATTTATCTTGAAGCTTTGATATACAATAGAAGTATTTCATTTATATTCCTTTTTTACTAAAATTTCATCATACTATTCTATAAACATTATTACAATTATGATCTCTAAAATTTATTGTCAATTTTCACACACATTGCTATAGCCAACTCCAAAATATCTTCTAAATTCTCACCTTAATATGCATCACATTTTATTTACATTAGTAAACTTACTTTAAGCTAAGTTAATTGGCTGCTAAATATTTTTTTATATTTTCTATATATTCGTACTCTGCTCATATTTTTCTAATATTTTACTGATTAATTACTAATAGCTAGAAGCAATTCATGTTGCATGCAGAATGCCAATTAAGATGAAATCCTACTGATTTATTTTTTGACTAGGGCTTAGAATTAAAGTTTTTTTATGCATTCCACAGCTTATTCCAAAAATGTGCTTCAAATTTATTATTATATATTAGGTCTCTAGATTTATTGCCTATTCATGCGCATTGCTATGATCTATTCCTTATTTATCATAATCTTTTAAGCATACTGCTACAACTTATCTCAACACCACACTCTAGTTTTTTTCTATTCATGCATATTATCACAGCACATTATCATTTTTCACATCACCACAACTATACTCTTTTAGGATTTATTGTTTCTAATTTTACTTTTATAGATATTGATTTTTAATATTAATTGATTTTTTTATTTTAACTAGTGTCTCTAGAACTGAACTAGACATCATTATGTGAGACATTATTTCATATTTATTCTTCTAGTTTTTTTTTTAACTATATAGTTGTGTTGTTAATTAGAGATCAGATTCAGATTTTGTCGAGATATCTATGTAATTATTTATTACTGTTAATATTCACAGATATTTCATAATTTATTATACTGATTACTATATGCATAATTATTCATTAAATATATATGATCTAATCTTCGAGTATTCGTGAATTTTGTGCAAATATATCATATTTTTAATGAATATCTATTTATAACTATGAATATCAAAAATCCAATCTTTATGTTAATTTCACTAACGGCTGAGAGTATGTATGTTTTTTTTGTCAATTAAGTTATGTTAGTTTTAAGATTTTTGTTAGAAATAGTAGCTGTTTATCATTTTATTTTTGTTTTTATTAATTAATTAATTTTTTTATACACATAATACAATAAAGATATTTTTTATAAATTTTTATGCATTAATAATTTTATTTTATCGAAATATTGCTTTGAAACTAAATTGGGCATATATTATAGTTGCTCTACAAACTAGTTATTATAGTGCATATGTTGTACTTCAGATTAGAATTTGTTTTTATTAAGAATCAGAATAGTCCTATCTAGCTAAAATAAAAATTTTTATATTCTAAGTTCTAGTTCTAACTATAATACTAACTCTAGCCTAACTTTAAAATCCTAATTCTGCAAAAAAATTTACAAAATTATCTGAGCAGCTCGATTCTAAGAACAATTCCTATCTGTGCATAAAAACAAAGTCATAATTAGATCTATTTTAAATATAAATTTACGCTTTCACTTCTTATATTGGTATTATCATTATATTGCTTCAGTTTATTAAATTTTCAGTATCATTAAGCTCTGTAACAGTACTGTTCACTTTTAATTAAGGTTAATTAGATATTACACATTATGCATATCCTGTGTAGCATGTCATCTAATCACAAGTGAGATTCTAAAGATCATTTCACATGATTATATAATGATCAGAAATTAACATTATAAAATTAAGTAATAATAATAAATAAGCTAAAATAAACATATTTTAAAATCAAATTTTAACTATTAAATAACAAAATCTATATACTGTACTAAATTTTTAATTCTGATATATAATTTGCTATTTAATATAGTAATAGAACAGATTCAATATCTAATATCTTTATTTGTATTATTGTTTGAATTACTATTTATAATAAAATAATTTAGAGAATCTTCAATTATAATTATTTAAAATAAAAAAACAAACTATCTCTGAAGTAATTAAATTTTTTATCAAGTAT